GAGGGGTGACTGGGGGAGAGGACAGAGTGACCAGGGGTAGAAGGAGAGGGGTGACTGGGGGAGAGATTTTCAGGCTAGAGGAATGATGCAGTGCAGAGAGAAAGAAAGGGAGGAGAGCAAAGGCATGAGAAAGGACATGGGGGAGGGGAGTATATTCAGGGCAGCTGGTCACTGTAGCTGGTCTCCTGGCATCAGAGGCTGCTGGCATTACCTTGTCCTTGATTTAAAACCACCCTTTTATCCCTCTGAGCTCCTGAAACCGTACAGCGCTTGGCTGCTCGTGTGAGCCTGCAGCACTAACCACACCACAGTGTGCACACCTGGTCACACATGCCCTACTTTTGCTGTGCTCCGAAAGCTATCTTTACACTGAGCAAAAACACATCAGGGGAAATGGAAACCAAAGAGGAAAACAAATCAAAGATCAGAGAAATGTACAGGGCTCGGATTCCTCGAGCTGCAAGGTGGGAGGGTGGTGTGTGCACGACTGACAGATTGGCACAGGACCTCAGTCCCAGTGCCTCTGCCCTACAGGCTCCGTGCCCGCTCTCCACTGTCATAGGGAGGAACGCTGGTCAGACTCTGCCCACTGCACCGAGTAAGGCAGGGGAGGCTGAGGAAGCGACTGCTGTGCAGAGCTCCCTAGGATGGGCATCTGAAGGGCACGGGGGGCACAGGGCTCTGGGGTGAGGGTCAGTGAGGTTTTCTAAATAACCCGAGTCACCAGTACCAGTGCCGGGGGCTGTCACTCTTATTTGCCAAGGCACAGACTACCTAGGGTACCCCCAATTCAAGACACAGCCAGCGAGCCCTTAAGCGCAAGTGAAGACCAAGACCTGTCTTCGTCTACCGCACATGAGGAAGACAGGTTGGGCATGTTCCCAGACAGCTCAATTTCCTCTTCAAAATGACGGCTGCCAACCCGTTCCCGGGCAAGACAAAAGCCCTGTTCAGCACTGACACCATTATCACCATTATGATTGGAGCTGGAGCTGGTGTCTCGCGCTGACGTTTCCGAATTGACGATATGTCACAATTAACTCCGTTAACATTTTAAACACAGAGAAAACTCCGAATGGCCCGATAAAAGGAAACAGAGCATTAGCGAGTCAAAGACAACCATCGGTATTTAAAGGTGCCACACCACCTGGCAGTACGGACTCTTTCAGATATTGCTGTGGTGGCGTACTAGTATGTAATTATGACAGAATAAATTACAAGTTTTCTCCACCTGCTCGTCTTCTTGCATGGACGCGGCCAGCGGAAGGCCGTCAGCCACTCGGGCAATCATCGTCAGCAGAACCATCTTCGACTAAGCTGGTTTCGCGCGAGCGGCAGCAATCCGAACCGAGCCGGCCGAGGCTGTAGGCTGAGATCACTCCTACTGACAACACTGACGAGCTGAGCTGGCCGGAAGCCGCGGCGGCGCGTCGCTCAGTGCCGTCCTCCAACACTGCAGGACCCGAAACAAAGCGTTCCGCGTGTGAGAGGGTTCCGCTCCGATTCGGCGGTGAGGAGAAACAGAGGTACACACCGTGAACTCGGGCGACTACCAGAGGTGAGTTTTAAAATAAAAGATAATTTACTGTCCGTTAATCATGGAATTAATATCACGTCTTGCCTTGCTAGAACATCATCATTTGTCCATGATATTAGTGGAGAAAAACGCGGAAAGACTATATATTTAACTTAATCAAGGTGGTAGCATATTTGCAGCGATACTAATTATATCTAAAACTTTTTTCAAACTGGCACTTTGCACAGAGGAAGCTGCAAACTAAACTTCTGACAAGAATTACAGTGAAGTAAAATAATATTTTTTTGTGAAATAACAGTAACAAAATTAATCTATTTTCAGTTATTTAGCGTTTACACATGTTTTTGTTTTGCTTCTGGTATTCAACAGCGTTAACTATTACCCTAATCATCATGCTCTCTACTTTTCAATAATACAGTTCTCTATTATTATATGTTTCTCTGTTAGCAGTCAGACGCAGTTAAGAGCCGACTGTTATGTATGTATGTCAAAATGAACTGCAAAAGTGCAAAAGAAATAATACAAACTACAAGTACAAATAAAAGCATCTTTAAAAAATCATAATACATTTTCTTTGTATGTCTTTCACAAATCATGCCTCCTAACTATTGACAACACTATTGCTTTACGGGGAGTTAACCTATGAAGTATTTTTAATTACTTTCAGTTTAGAGGCAACTTAAAAAAACGGTCTGTCCCAAAGTGGCCTGTCATTACATGATGGAAGATGATCGCTATCACAGGTATCTTTACAGGATGAGGCACGGTGCTGTTGTCATCTGCTGTCTTTGTAGCCATTACACAGTATCTCAACTGCTCATTTTATTGTTTAATTTTCTGTGTAACTGTGAATAGGAGATGGGTTTTGGTTATTGCCACCAAGTGCTTAATATGTGGAAGACTGGAAAATGTCTGTATGCAAAGAGTGCTGTTCTGAACTACTATGATGCATCTGGCAGGTATTTTCTGATATCTAATTCACTTGCCAGGGGCAGAGATCACAACCCTATTGATTAAGAGCATGGTGATTCCACCGCGTCAGTCTTATGATCCATTCAGACCACATAATGAAGATTAAAGGGATATACAAAGTTTTGTTCATGAGCTAAACTGAAGAAGACAAGTGAATGTGAACAGAATGCTGTCTTGGGTTATCAGTCGACCTTTATAGAAAAGCCCAGGGCTTATTATGACATGTTCCATTTCTTTTGCACCAAAGAAAGCAAAAGACCAAACAGGTCTAGAATTAAAAGTGAACAGTTTTATTCAATGATCTGCACTTTTCCCTTAGAAGGGGAAACAGTCTTACACTGTTAAAATCAAGACAGCAATCAGAACAGAAAAATAAAGATATTTTTTAAAAAAGATTAACATAGAAAACATGAAACGCTGCCTCTAAAAGACCCATTAATGACATTTGCACCAGGAACTGATTCCATCTTAAGAGATCCACAACCAGCCTAACCGCACATGAAGTGTCTGGTTACACATTTGTCTGTGAATGTACAGTCTTTATAAAAATACTTAATGTTGCTTCAGTGGATTGAAACACAAGTCTCTGTAAAATCTGCAATAAAACCTAAGATATATACAGTTACAAGTGCTGAAGGACAACTACATCTGAGATCTTGCCACAGAAACGTGTCTGTGACAGAAGTGTAGGTCGGGTACTTTTCAGTCTCAGTCTTCTCCTCAGGATTCTTTCCTGGCAAAGCTACTTTTTTCCATATTCAGGTGAAACTCAGAAGGAATGGGTAGGTTTATATAAGTCTGTGGTGACATGTTGTTACCCTAACTCATACAAATGAAGGGTTGCAAGTTATATGATCTTCCACTTGCCCTAATTGTGGAAAAACAGATCAGGGGAGCCTGAAAAGAGCCTAGGCAAACCCTGGCTGGTGAAGACTCGCCCAGCCTCGCAAACAAGTGGCCGGTCCTGGCCTTCACTTAGGAAAGCCAATTCAGTTGCCTGATGCCGTAGTCCAGACTCGAACCTGCGACTTCTGGACTGACGGGCAAACGGGAGGTGGATTATATGTAAACCTTCTCTGACCGTGCAACTGGCCAGTGAGAAGTCTGTACTACCTACAGTACTGCACCTGTGCTTGACAAGTTGATAAGCACCTCTCTGTACACAAGCCCTGTGTTCCAGTGCTCTCACTGGTGAACTACAACCTTCATCCAGAGTGGCAAATCTGACAAGCGATGTAGAAATGGCCTTTGGAACAAACTGCTAGCGTACAGGTATCAATCTAACCCGGCCCTGATCTAGTCCCTAACCTAATACAACATAGCTGCTGTGTGCAGCGTGTGGAAGGCATGGAAAGATTGTGAAGGATTATCAACCTGCGGCTCAGTGCACTGACAATACTGAGAGTTTATAAACCTTACAGAGAGGAGAGGTCAGTTACACCTCCAGAGTATAAGTGCATTACTAAATTACCATGTATCCAAACATACAGACAGATAATCAGACAGGTGTAGTGCTAATTGGCTCCATTTGGGAATATAGTGTTAATAGTAACTGCAGCAGACTGCAGCAGTATCAGGGTTGTGTTTCCAGAGCCCCCTCCTCAGTTCTCCCCAGGACCTCCTGCAGCCGGCGGGCGATGGCCAGGGCACGCTCACGGGGGCACTCCTGCAGGGGCAGCCGGGGGGGCCCCAGGGGCAGCCCGGAAACCACGCACATCAGCTGCTTGTTCACCGCCGTGTCGAACCCTGGAGAAGGCACACACTCGCCGGGTCAACCCGCGCGTGAAACTCAGGAACACACACAATGTGCACTCAGTGTGCTCAGTGCGCACACACACTGCATGCTCACTGCACACACACTGCGCGCTCAGTGTGCTCACTGCACACACACTGCGCACTCACATTGTGCTCACTGCACAGACTGCACTCATAGTGCTCACTGAACGCTCACTGTTCACAGTGCTCACTGCATGCTCACTGCACACACACACACTGCACGCTCACTGCACACACACACACACTGCGCGCTCACTGCACACACACTGCGCGCTCACTGCACACACACTGCGCGCTCACTGCACACACACTGCGCGCTCACTGCACAGACTGCACTCACAGTGTTCACTGCACGCTCACTGCACAGACTGCACTCACAGTGTTCACTGCACGCTCACTGCACAGACTGCACTCACATTGTGCTCACTGTGCCCTTACTGCACGCTCACTGCACGCTCACAGTGCTCACAGTGCTCACAGTGCTCACAGTGCTCACTGCACAGACTGCACTCACATTGTGTTCACTGGGCGCTCACAGTGCTCACTGTGCACTCTCTGCATGCTCACATTACTCACTGCGCGCTCACTGCAAACTCACCCTGCTTCACCGCATAGGAGATGACTTCCTGGGTCTGAAACTGAAGGAAGAGAAAGAGAGAGGTCAGAGCTCCCTGCTGTAGCCATTTTACTGTTTCCATGCCAGTCTAGCCCTCTTTCACAGACACACGGGCAAGAGTAGAGATGTCAGAGATACCAAGCTATTGGGGCAGAAACAGCAGCATAAACAGGGGAGAGCGATGTGGCATCATCATCACTGCATTGTTGATATTGGAACCAGACTCTTCCACCCTGCCCAGCACAGGCCTGAGGGCGAATCTTCAATACAGCAGCGGCTACAGACACCCTGAGCCATCAGCGCCTCTGACCGCAGAGGAAGCAGGTCCAAGACCTAGAAGGAAGGTGGGAGCAGGGGAGCAGTACCTGGATACTCCTGGCCAGGACGTAGTCGCCCTTCTCATAGGCTTCCAGCAGCCTGTTCACTACGCAGCCCATGTAGTTATAAGTGCTGCTCAGAGAGAGAAAGAAGTCAGGCAGACTGACAGCAGGCACCAGTTTAGACGCAAATCCTACTCGGAGCACAGGGGGCTGACTGTTGAGGAGGTGCAGAGGTAAATGACATCAGTGGTGCAACAGGAGCAGCAGTGTGAAAGTCTGGGTACACGGGCACAGTGTGTTACGGCTGAGTGGTACTGCGAGTCTCAGTCACACTGCTCCTACACAAGCAGGCATTCCAGACGGCCGCTGCCACAGCATCTGCTGAGCAAAGCAGCAGACCGTTTATATAGCAATATATTTTGGAATCACCATGGCACTCAGCATCACAACCCCCATCCTTTAAGTCTGAAAAAAGTTAAAAGTCATGTTGTTTTAAACAAGAGTAAAGCACTGGAGGGCACACAGAGGCTGGGAGATGAGAGCAAACTTCAAACAGGAACAACTAAATAAATACACACAAGTACAGGCTCTGCCTTGTGATCACCTGAGGGTCAGCAGTCACTCTGCCACTGTAGAGCAACTGAGTCTCCTAAGAGAAAGCTTGCAGGGCAGCAGAGAGCTGTATGCTGGGCTCTCTAAGAGACTGGTCCTGACAAACTGGTTCTGCAAGTGAAAATGGGGTGGACTGGGATGAAGACAGGGCTTCTGTTATACAGCGTTTAACTTCCCTTCACACCTATATCAAAATACAATTACTGTATTATGAATGAGAGGTGTTCTGTATTCCATAATAAGGCTGCAGGTGTTCACTCAGTTCAGTACTGTAAGATACTGGTGCAGCTCCACAGTATTGCCCTTGCTGATTGCATTTTCCACAACGACCCAAGATCACAGGCACACCTTTCCTGGGACTCTGATTGACTGCGGATGTGACACTTTTTCTTTCACCACCATGTGTTTTAAAGGCCAGATCCTTCTGATCTAAAGGGTCACTTGGCTCAGGCAAGCTTGCGCAAAAACAGGCAGGAGGGGTGATTATATCAGTTAAAGCAGGAAAATGGAAGCCACCGTATACAGAGGCAGAGGGGACGGGGCATCCAGACAGGCACCAGGGGCTGATCTGTGCCACACGGACTCACCTGCCCACCGCGCCGTGCGCTCCCATCACCAACGCAGCCAGCAGTTGCTGCAGAACAGAAACAGCTCTGTTAGTCTCTGCCCTGCACGTACTGACACAGAGCTGCTGGTGCAATAACCAGCTTGCTGCCTGCCTGCACGGTCATATTAACCGGGCCCTGCGTGCATCTGCTGAGTGCACGTTTGCTCTGCTGCTGTTTGTGCAGAACGATGGACAGAGAGAGTGCAACGTGTTCCATGCGAGGGGAGAGATCTGGGGAAAAGGACGAGAGGAGTGAGAGTGGAGTCGGTGAGCAGCGCGAGGGACACACCCCACCTCATCCATCCCATACAGCATAGGCCAGTGGGGAGGGCTGTGGTGGACGCACTGCCCGAAATCCATCAGGTCACTGCCGCTGAATTTTAAGCCCTGGAAGGACGGAATGATGTCCTCAATCCCCTGCAGGATGTCCATCGCCTTGACTGAGGCCAAGAGAGAGTGGAGAAGGAGAGAGGGAGGCAGAGGTGGGCAAGAGACAGAAGAGGCTGTTTAGTCACCTGCAGCACTACCGAAAGCGACAGTGCATCAGTATGTGGTCAGTGCTGTAATTGCTTTGTTGCTGATCGGCGCCATACTCACAGCTCACACCGGTCAGCGCGGGGAGGTGGTAGTAGTAGAACGGTAGGCAGGGGGCTGCTTTTGCCACATGCTGGAGGAACTTCCTCAGCGCATCTGAGAGGGATACAGAAAGATCGGACGGCGGTCAGCCACACAAGCTCTTGAAACACTCATGCGTGTCGTGAGAGACAGAAGGAGTGACAGAATGATACCTTTATCTGCAGGCTTGAAGAAGCAGGGTGAGATCACTGCAATCCCATCAGCCCCCACATCAGCCGCGTGTCGGGCCTGTACAGAGAACACAGCCTGATTACTTCTCTACGGTACACTGTAACGCATTTTACTGAACCACAGTGTATTCAGCAATACTCTTTACCATACTTTACTAAAAAGCACAGCTCATGATTGAAAACTGAAGAGCGCACTACGGTCATATACTTTGCTGCTGTACGGCTTATGGAAGAAAAAGACATCATAGTCTTGAGTGCTAACGATTACAGACATAGGTATAACCAAACACAGAGATATGAATCTAGAACAGGACAGCTTCTGGCTGATTTTCAAACAGCAGTTTTATCTACATATCTTGTAGATAACAGATAGCACCCTCCAGTAGCAATCCACTCATCAGAGCTACTGGAGGGTGCTCCACCGAGGTGTGCGCCAGTGATCTGGCCTGGGTGTGCTGTGCAGTTCTGCTCTGCTGGGATCAGAGGACTCACCAGCTCCTGCGACTCCTTCAGACTCAGACACCCCACGTGGACAATCACCTGGTCCAGCCTGCAGGCGGAGCAGACAGATCAGTACGCAGAAGTGTGCTTGCTCACGCACAGACTACCAGAATCAGAATGAGAATCGCTTTTATTCGCCAGGACGTGTCAGGTACAGGAATTTGCCAGTGCAGCACGTCAGCATGTCAGAGTGCGTGCCAAGGGCTTTCTGCTGGATCACAAACAAAACGGGTTTATCTTCCCCGTGGGAAGACTATATAATATTCTCAATGTTCTGCGTCTTTCTTGAAGACTACAGGGAGATGACACTGCAGACCAGAGCAGGAAAAACAGTTTGCCGCTGTCTCACAGTAAAGCTGATGACTGTTAAAACACTCGGATTTACACATCTATAAGGAAGTGAATCGCTCAAAGCAGAACCCTTGAGACCCAGTGTTTTGCAAAAGTGGCGTGGGCTTTGAAAGTGGGTGGACTGTCTCCAGCAGGGCTGCCACAAGACCCCAGTAAAAACTACAATCGGCATTCGCTGGGGTGCCTGTGTCCTTCTTCCTGTGTGGTCAAAAAACACAGAGCAGATGATTACAAACTGGGCCAGTATATAACCCAAATAACTGGACTTAAATGCCAAAAAAAGACCTCTGCCTTCAAAAACAAAGTTCAGCAAAGAACAAAAATGCAGGAGTGTAGATCATTAGTATCCAGGCTTTCCGCACACTGCAAAATGATAACATTTATCAGTGTTTTGCTGTTTTCAAACTCAGTTTTAACTTTCTATAGAATTTCTCGGATTTCTATAGGAAACTCTGCACTCCAGTGTTTTTGTTACTAATTGGCAGCTCTGCAGCAGGCAGGACACCTGCAGAGGGAGAGCCCAGTTCTAGGACACACAGGGGTATCGGACGAGCCAGGCTGCACTGTTCAGTTACTGCCGGGTGACTCTCTTACAACACACCAGGTGGCACTGCTGTCTGCGTCTCGGGCACAGGTCCTGGCCTATCCCCCTGGGGCAGTACTCACTTGCCCTTGCCCCGCTGGCACCATTCCTCTGCCAGCCTCTTCCTCTCCTCCACACTGAGGGACATGCTCTCCCCGGTTGTGCCATTCACTGCAGATTCACAAAGACAGGGAAAGACACAAGACCAGTCACGGCTCGTCAGAGCGTGGTGTCGTTAGTTTAGAGCACCGATTTCCAGCCCTGCTCCTGTGACTGCTGTTTTCATTTAGGATGAGCTCAAAATCTCCGAGCGAATTGGTGACTTTACTGAGCTACTTGCTCATTCAGACTTTTTTTCCTATTTAAGAGTGTCAAACATACCCAACTTACAGAGTCCCATTCCCAACAGCCTCAGCACACAGAACTTTACACAGCCTCTCCTCAAATTTCTGCCCCTTATTTCTGACTGAACAGCTCTAACTAGACTAGCTGACCAGTGGATGAGCAGAGACAGGGGAGACTGACTGTATCAGACACCCCGACAGTGGAAGTGACACTGCATCACAGTGAGTGTTTCTGCCTTCTCCAGAGGTCCACTCAGTGACATTTCGGGCAGCACTGCTGAAAGAGGGCAGTTCTGAAACTCAGACAAAGTTGAGCCTGTAAATAAGAGCCCATTTGGAGCAAAAATCAGAAGAGACTGTGTTCCTCTGGGACCAGGACTGGAAAGCTCTGGTTAAGAAGCTCCAGGGGAAAGTTTGTGCTTTAGATAACAGAAACCAAACCTGTGGCAGTAATGTTTTGTTTGAATTTAAACTGCGGGGAAGAGATCCAGACACACTAGACAAGAAAGGGAAGTAGAATAGGACGGGAGCAGAGAGCGCAAAGGAGCTCAGGCCACTCTCTTGCCCACGTTCCTCCTGCTCCGTGTTTCCCTGTGTGCCCGTCTGACAAACAGGAAGGAAACGGGCAGGACGCGATGGGCCGCGGCACAGACGCCCAGAGCAGCGAAAGAGCTCTTACCGAACACGGCCCTGACCCCCTGCTCCTTCACCAGGTAGTCGACGTACCGCTCGATCACAGACGGGTTGATCTCCCTGGGGGACACAGAAGGGCTCGGGTCAGTCCTGAGGGAGCAGGCAGACGAGACCCTCTGGAAGCCAGCTTGAGCAGCGCGGGGGAGACCGGGGCCGGAGGAGCTCAGAGTGACAGAGAGAACAGCGGGGGGGGTGTGACCCCGAGATCGGAGCAAAAGAGGGTCCTGCTGTGGGGAGGTGTGTCGGGTGTGTAGCGTGGGAGGACCTGCCCTGGTGCGTGATGGTGTCAATGTGAGGCTTTCAGAGACTGGAGGTATGGGGGGAGATGGGTGATGGTGGGGTGCGGGGGCCGGCTGACCTTACCCCTGGTCGTTCAGGGGGGTAAAAGTGGCAGCTATGAGGCCGCTGATCATCTTGCGCTGGGGGGCAGCCATCTCTTAGGTCAGGAAGGCAGTGGGGCAGAAGGCACCTGTAGGGAGAGAGACTGAGAAATGAGAGGTGGAAAACGACACGGACCCCTCATAGGGCAGCTCGCCCAGAGTGACCTAGCCATCCCAGTTTGTCCCTCTGAAACTCCTCCTTGTTGCAATTCAAGCTGGGCGTTAACACATGACCTAGGGGAAGTCCACAGTGTGCTTTTTGGAAGTTTATTGTGTAAATGGTAATTCTTTAAAAATGTGATGAGCATGTACAGTATTTTTTTAATTCAGTACTCGGAAAACCTCCCCCCCAGCGAGACCTGGGTCGGTAGGCAGACGATCTGGTTGAGGTGGAACAGAAGGAGACAATCCTGGTTTTGGGGAGGGTATTGGAATTCATCACTAGACACCTAAACAACGGGAAGTCATTCTTTTCCGCTGTCTAAAGAGCACGTCCGTAATCACTTTCAAAACACCTGTGTGTGTTTTAGTCCACCTTGATTAATCAACACATATCTGAAAGTTATCGTAATTAAAAGGACAGTATACCTAATTTCCAATAAACCCATTAATCGTATGAGCACTGTAGCTACTTCATCCACAAAGCTGTGGCTGAACTCACAACAACATGAAACCTGCAGGAAAGACCGGCTCCGCCTAACTCTTGGTAACTGCAGGCTAAGACAAATCAAATCCTGCACAAAATTCAGGGGATCCATCCAACTTAAGTTTGCTTTGCAGAAACTTTCATGGAATTAAAATACCGCCCCATTCCAAAGCTACAGCAGGACGGCCATACCATCAGAACATAAGGGTCAGGTGCGGTCTAGATGGGTTGTGTGGCTCACAAGCAGGGAGGTCACTCAATATAGCCAGTTCTCCCAATGGCAGACGCAGCTTTGAAATTTAATCAAGCAGAAAAATACAAAAAACTATCCTTCTATGACGTTTTTCCCCTATAGAAAGAGCTGTTATCAGCCGCAACACACTGGGAAAATGATTCAACACTGAATGACGAACAATGAGTGGAAATAAAAATATCACGCCAACAATTTTAAAGCGTCTTATTTTGTAATACACTGGTATTTAGTTCGCTCAAGCGTTTTTTAAAATATCATGACACCAGATATAATGAGGTATTTCTATTAATATAACGAAATAATTTGCATAGCAGAACTCTTCATTACAAATGCGAACATTTACTGTAAATCATGCCAGTGAAGTGTTTTTGAAATATTAACACCCGCCACCAGGGGACAGAAAGAGGTCAGGCGAATAACGTCACCTCCAAGCACCGCACCGACACTGAATTTCTGTACATTTTTTTTCTCCTCACGCACAACGTCTCACCACAAGGCCGGTCCAAAGTCCTGAACGGTGGATCCAGTAAAAGCCAGTGGTAGCAACAGAGTTTTGTCTTTTCCAGACGTTCTTCCTGCCATCAGCGTGATTCCGATTGGTATTTCAAATTGTCCGAGTACTGCATCCCGTGGAAACCGCTGTCACTGTCTCTCCAACCCTCTCACGTCCTTCTCGTATAAGTCTGCAACTGCCCCTGTCCGACTGCAACAGGAACACAATTGTTGTCTCCCCCTAGCTGTATGCTCGCTCTGTCAGTGTGTTCGGCTTTTTCCGTCAGTCACTCGTACTATTCCGTAAATGCCTGTGGCGTATGACTCGCGGCTCATGTGATGTCACTTATTGTTTTCCCCAAATGCTCTGTGACAGTGACAAGAGTAAGAACAACAGAAAGAAGTACACTATAAAGACAGTTCAAGGAAAATAGAAACAATGAAACAGACAGGCAGAAAGAAAATAGGAGAGTACCAGGGTATTATATACAGGATTATAACAAGTTACATTTGATCATTTTAAAATTGTATACTGTAACACAAAAATATGAGCTAATGTGATAGCGAATTATATAATCTGCAGGCTTTTCTGGTATTTAACATTATTGGAGGGTTTATAATGGTCATGTTACGTGTGGCTGATACTTTCGCATTCTTACTTCTGCATTGAAGTCTGGATAAAACATTTCACCAGTAACCAATTAACAAACACAAAGTGATTCATAGCCAATTAAAGTATATCGCCATATTTGTGGTTGTTTAAAGGACATCCTTAAAAGCCTTTCCAAACCAGCAGAGCACAATGGCGGCGTAGCTTGTTCCAAGCACCCACGACCCACAACCTCCTGCTCTCAGCTTCCCATGCCCTTCCCGTCAGTGTCCACGCGTGTGCACCGGTTCCTGTTTCACGCTGACGGCTGTCGGTGCCTTTGAGGACTGTGAGTAACAAGCGCCAGGGTTCTGAGTCAGAGCCTCTTGCGGTCTTCTCCTCTCAAGACGAAGAAGATTCAGTTCTTCATACCCAGCGGCCCCCGGTCCAGCAGGTCTCATCCATGACAGCACCAATTTCTAAAGGTCTACAGCCACTGCCGTTTGATCAGTTTACCAGGTGAAGGCACATCACTCAGACCTGGAGGTTTAATGTGGGAGTCCGTCCCGTTTCTCACACATTCACAGGGACAATAACACTGAACAGTGTAGCGGAACAATTTAACAACATGCAGATTTGTGTCAATCATTAAATGATTCAATCTTTTTTCACAAGGTATTGGAGGTTAATTTTGCCAAATTCAAAATATGACAGGTGCTTGTAAGTTGTAACATTATTTCTTTACAATGAGTAAAGTTGACATTCACAACCTTGTGAAACATGTTTAGCATGTTTGATTGCCCTTGGCTATTTCATCTAAAACTTCAAAGAATCCTCAATACTTGCTTAAAACATTGCTGAGACAAGACATTCTATATTGACTTGAACAGCTTAAGACAATCTTGCAAAAAACATAAAATCAAAGCATGTCTAATGGCAGTAATGGAATTAAAAACATGATCAAGACTAGTCTTCCTTCCAGACTAGAGTTACAGTAGAATCAGAAAAACTAGAAACAACAGCACATGTTCAACAGGTCATTGGGAATGCCCGTATCGATTAAAGTCAAGCTCGTTCTGAAACAATCGGCTGTGATTATTTCCGCGTGATTTCCGAAATCACGTCATATTTCTAAACTTCCTCGCTAATGATATGTGGAAAATACCATTAGGATGACTCACCCTTTTAAAGTTAACGCTATTTTTAACGCAGTCTTTCTGTTGTTTGAATCAAATTTGATTCTGTGAATTAAAACCGGAAAAATAAAACCGCCGACGGAAACTGCCGGAAATTACCGAGCGCACCGGTACGGTCTCTAAAACGTACCACGGTACCCTACCGCGTGATTAAAGACCCGCTGTAGGTCTTGTGGCGGTGATCAAACAGGTTGATCGATTAGCTGTGCATAATTAATCATCCACCCATCCATCCGTTTATTCCCATTGAGGGGCCAGTCTGTCCTGGCAAGCGGATAGCTTATTGACAATTTGTTGACAATTTGCCTTGTGTTTTCCCATGTGTTGCAGCCCACCCATTCGATAGGAAGAACGCGCAGTTAAAGAGCTGTTCAACAACGTTATTAGATTCTGCAACATCCCACTCTCTGTACTGGTCTACCTAGATCTTACGCTATTTCCCAGCCCTGTTTCCTCTGGCTCCTTACCGTGCAGTGGCACTCCAGATAGAGCGAACCCTGCCCCAGACTGTGGACATAGCCTTGACTGGGAGACAAGCACTCTTAATCAAGCAAGCAGCGCACAGATACGGTATCTGTCTGGCTGCAGGCACGGCTGGAGAGCTATAGAAAAAACAGCTTCTGCCCCTTGTCGAAGGTTAGGTGTGTGTTATTCATGCACATGGGGAGGATACCATCATGCAGATCTGAGCGCAGTCTCCCATACAGATCTGTGAGCAGCCTCTCCAACGAGATGGTAAATGCAATGAGTTTTATACAGAAAATTCACGCAGGAAAGCTCATTCTAAGTTTCCATATCAGGGGCTGTTATTTCTCTCTACAAAGCATTTCTCTGTAATTGACCACGTTCTTCTCAAGAAGCAATTTTACCTTGTCTTTAGAATTAGGAAACAGAAGGTGTGAAATGTGCGATTGTAGCATTTATGTCAGAAGGTCAAATAATATGCTTGAATTATCCTTTTATACTGTTGCTAAGAAAAAGGCATATGAGCAAAGGCAGATAGTCACTATATTTTATACTTAATGAAAGGTAAATGCTAAAATTCGTCCTCCCTCTAGGCCAGTGCAAGAGCAACAAGGTGCCCCAGTCTTGAGGCCCCGTGTCCTGATCTGGTAATGTCAAGAGGAGACGAGATGGGGCAGCTGCCTGTCCTGAATCGACTGGCATGATTACATCGGAAGCACTGCACTGTGCTGCTGAGGCTGCTACAGAGGGGCATTCCCCTTATCTCCTGCCAGGAGTGACCAGATTGAAACCTGGGAGGAACCTTTAGAGAGCAACCTTGGAAAACCCGCATGCTCGTGGGTGAAACATGCAAACTCCACGCAGACAGCACTTGCCATCTCACCACCGAGCAACCCCAGGGGTATTTCAGACTCCAGATCCAATCACCCTGAGCAAGCTTTCCTGCCCGATTTCGCCCCACTGCCTACCGTGAAGAGCTCGGCCTGCTTTGTGACTAAGCCAGTTTACTGGACGGAGGGGTGTCCAACCGGCTCAAGCTTTCAGGATGCCTACACTGACTGGAGACCGCGGGCGCTGGGCCCTTTGTGCACGTGCTGTGGCAGGAGAGGCTCAGCCCCCCTCCCTGCCCGAGCAAACCAGAGAGAGTGGGGATCTGGTCCCGCCTGCGAAAGTGAGGACAGCAACGCCAAGCAGACAGTCAGGCAGAGAAACAGCAGCCTCCCCGCTTACACTGTGGGCTGTCTTTCCTTAATGAACCCAACTACTACTGCCCTGCTCCCCACCTCGCAACATTCACTCCTCTAATTCTGGTCTCCCGTCTGTCCCCCAAGCCCGTCTACACTCTATGGGTGACAGGGCCTTCTCCTGCCTTCTCCAAAGCTCTGGAACTCCATCCCTAAGGATATCGGAGAGTCACCTTCCTTACACTGCTTCAAATCCAGACTCAAAACCTTCTTCTTTCGAAGGGCCTCTACTTAATCTGTTCTTTACCCCTCTGCTCCTACTGTATTCAGTATCCCCATCTACTGCCTCCTCGCAATATGTATGTTCATTGTGTTTGTCTTGTGTATTTTTTTATTGTTGTTGTAGTTCATAAAGCACTTTGAGACGCCACCTTTAAAGTCTCTATATAAATTAAGTTTTATTATTATTATAGTCAGTATATTACACACATCCTCACAAACACTTCAAAGTTTTGACATCAAACTAAAAAAACATTTTAAAGATTAGATTACATACGAATTCTAAAGTGCAATTATATTCACTTTCTCACATATAAAAATAAATATCAACAGATAACTGACAAGAAGCATAATCATTATAAGCCATAATATCAGAAGGACAGTAATTGCAAATCGGTGTTTTTAGAAGTAGCAGTATTTCAAACTCCTGCGTTCCTGCGTATAACGGATTGTGCTCTGACCAGACAGTACCTTTCGATGAGCGCAGCTCCCAGTCGCCAGCTGGGGTTCGGGAGTGTCTGTCCTGGCTCTGTGAGACGAGTGGGTCCAGTCTATCCCTAGCGGTGCCAGTTGTATTCTGCGGACACCGCGAGGTGCTGACCGTGACTCTGCCAGCAGTCACGTGCGGAAGCGCTCAGCTCACATGACCCAGGCGCCTGCCGGGAAGTGTAGTTCTCACCCGGTACTTCGTACTACAAGGGCTTTGAGCGCGTGTGCGTGTTTGTCAGGTTTTTCTTTTTTGTGACAGTGTGACAGAGAGCATTGAAATGACCGGTTACGGTATTCATGTTCTGTTTAGTGATGGGAAGACATGAATAGGTCTTAAATCAGTATGTTGATAGATTGGTACTCTAATTCTGGGAAGGTTGTACTTCCCAAATGTAGCACGTAGAATTGCGTTTAGTATGTAGCAGTCATGTTCTTAGTGTTGATATAATGCTAAGCTATCCGCCCATGAATTAATCAATCAATTAAGGATGACAGCAGTAATTAACGGATGGGAAGAATCGAGGTTCTGTAATGACAGCGGTGGATCCATCGTCAGGAGCATGCTGGGGAAAGACGAGACGCCCATTCTCACCTTACAAGCCTTCCGCTTCCCCGGCCCGTGTCTCCCTTCTTCATCGGATGCTCTTGGCGTGCAATGGCGATGGGGACGTCTGCAGGAAAGCACAGAGCTGCACAGGCAGAGCTCAGGAACGGGATGTCTTCAGTCCTGAACGGAGGAGACGCAAGTCTTGAAAATCCTGAAAGAAATTAAGAGAGACAGCCCTGCAGGCACAGGTAAAGAGGATACACTTTACACAGAGAGCATCATAGCGATGGTGATGCAGATTTACTGGGATTCTTCAAAGAACAGCCCTGTCTTCTCAGAGACGGAGAGAGATCTTCCCCAGACATTCGCAATCAAATGAACAAATTTAATGACTGAATGGTTCCCTCTCATTTATGATCCTCCTCGCGTTCTTGTGTCACATATTCTTATGTAAATACACGCCCAAGGTAGAACCGAGCACCTCTGCTTACAACTCCATACTAGACGGCTTTCGTACTCTCCCCTCTTGCCAGATCAACAAAGGAGCGCCAGTAGAGGGAGAGATCACAAGCCTGACGGACAGCAGCGGGAGCCAATAGCAGCCAAAGGCGCTCAATGACGTCAACCCAGCGTGTTGAACTGAAGCCAATGAGACGGCGAGGGGGGCAGTACCCGGATGCGGATGTTATTGACGTTGCAGTCGGAAAATTGACTCCTGCAGCATCAGCGGCGAAGATGGCTGTTGGCCGGAGAAGGGGCTGAGCCGAGCTGGGGTCGTCGCGCTGAAACCGGGTCATAGGGTCACAGCGCTGGGACAACAGTCGACTGAAGCTAGGTCGGAGGGATTTGTATACTTCACAGGACCGGTCAGCCTCACGACCCGGGTCCACTTCGAGCCGAGAGAGTGGAGCTGTGGCGCTGGGAGAGCACCCTAACAGCTGCTGAGAGGGACAGCGCACCTACACTGCCATTCCGGAGGGGAATATGCTATCGAAAGCCGCAACGGGGACAGAGCAACGGGGTCGTCTACGAAAAAGAGACTGAAATCGACCTCAGAGGAAACTCGGAGCTCGGAGGCTGTATATTCCGTCAGTCCGAAACGAGAACGTAGATCCGGGACAGAAGGTGTTTTGTCCCGGATACGGAGAGAAAGAGGAAGGGGGGAGTGTGTGTGTGTGTTTGCGTGGTTTATTGTCATTAACATCGTTCTCTTCGTTCTTGCTGGATGGTTACATTGTAGCCGCGGAGTGTATTGCGAGAGGAATCCTAACGGTTTTCAGCAGGTGTGGAGAATTAGGCGTATCGGGGTTATCGTCATACTGTTACTTGGCCGGGGGGTTAAATGACACAGAGCGTGTTCTGTTCCAGGTGTGCCAGACCCACACAGGGGTTGATGTCGGTCAGTCCCTTTTAACACAGGTGTCTTGGGCCTGGACTCCACGTCGCCTCCGTGGTTTTGATAAACGCCTCTCATTGTTTTTACAAGATCGGGGAAAGCAAACATCATTTGAAAATAGAACAAAATGGAGTGATTAGTGGCTTCTGCAGGGACTAGTCGGAGCCTAGAGTGCGTGTGAAGTCCAGCTGGGACCCCTGCTTACGCCGTACAGACACATTCCACTCAGGGGCGGGGGCTGTAGAGACCCACACAACTGAAAGTAAAGGGAGATCAAATAAGCAGTCCGATTAAAGAAAATCTCGACAGGTGCGACAGAAGTCTGGTTGTATGTGTTTAAGGTCTGGGCGGAAGGGAGCAGTCACAGGGGAACAGTGTGTCTGTCAGTGTGATCGGCAGTGCGTGTGCGTCGTGGTGTTGAGTGTGTCTGCTTGTTCGTGGGGGATGGTTCGCCCCTCAAGTGGGCTCTGACAGAGACAGGCAGACAGGCGTGTTACTATGGAGACCACGCCGGGAACCTGCCCAGTGAGGATCGCCCTGGTGGTGCTGCTGCTGCTCCTGGGCGCCACCTGCAGGCTGGGGGGTGCCATGACCAGAGAGGAGAGGCAAAGACTGAGGTAAGGGTTCGGGAGGCAGGACCGGGCACCGGAGCATGAACGAAAGCGCGTGGAGTCGCAGCTGGGGTGGGTAGAGGGTTGGTCCAGTAGGGGGGTGGCTGACAGTGACGAGTTAGGCAGTGGGATAGTGTGTTCCTGGGGGGGGTGAGTCGGTGTTTGGGCTGCATGGTTGTGGACTATGTTGTCAGTTTTTGAGTCAGTCTCAGATTTGGTGAGTAAAGTGACAGCGGGGAGTGGGCCTCTGTGGTGTAGACTTTGTCTTGTAGCCGCCTGGTATTCTGAATTTTTTTTGCTTCTCAACAAAACACCCAAACAAGCGGATATCCTCCTGTCGGTCCCAGATTTAATGATGGTGGGTACAGATGTCAATACGAATGGTCAAAGTGCCAAATCTAGGAATTTTGGATTGTAAAAGTACGTGGAAAAGGCCATATTAAAATACATGTCTATTCATCCCCTGCCTGCTCTCGGCCTCTCTCTCCTCCTCAGGAACCAGGTGATCGAGATGTTTGACCATGCCTACCAGAACTACATGGTGAGTGTCAGCTGACCGCCCTGCGGAGGGAGGAGAGCTAATGGATGCCCAGAAGAACGTAGTGACGCTACGGGTCCACCCACCCACACCCACACCCACACACACAGAGCCAGTGAGAACAGCTGTCTGCAGAGCACACGCGGATGTGAATGGGCGGAGCGGTGGCTAAGGATCTGCACCTGTGGCTGGAAGGTTACCGGTTCAAATCCCGCTGGCTGGCTGGCAGAGGAATCCTACAGCGTTGGGCCCCTGAAAAAGGCCCTTAACCCCAACTGCTCCAGGGCTGCCGTATAAATGGCCGACCCTGTCTGTGTGTCTCATGGAGAGCAAGTGGGGGTATGTGAAAAGACAAATTCCTAATGCAAGAAGTTGTATAGGGCCAATAAAGTGATCTTATCTGCACGGACGCTCCCACGCAGCCTTGTCACGTTTGAAACATTCAGCCTCTGCAGCGCTGCGCCCCACAGTCTCTCTCCCTTCCTGTGTTTCAGGATCACGCGTACCCCGCCGACGAGTTAATGCCCCTGACTTGTCGGGGGAGAGTTAGGGGCCTGGAGCCCAGCAGGGGGGATGTGGACGATGCTTTGGGCAAGTAAGTCGTGGACAGACTGACGGGCTTGCAGAGTGACTCATGGGACCCACTGAGGGGCTCACACAAACACACATTGTCTCTCTCTGTCGCAGGTTCTCTCTCACCCTTATCGACACTCTGGACACTCTGGTGGTGAGTAACCCGGGGGGGGTAAGAGAACATGATAAATCGAATTATCTGCAAATGATAATTATTATCACTGATGAGCTGAAATTTACAGGTTTTGTATATCGCATGTAAAACTATAACTGGGTAGCATTAAAAATGGCACTGCAGGTCACTGCATGTGTGTGGAGTTGAGCTCTTCAGTTTTAATTCAGAACTGCTTTTTTAACAATTCCTTTAATGCAGACCTACGGTTTTATTACTCATAAGCACTACCTAATGACCACAACTACATAATGACCACAACCATTTTGGGTAATGGTCCATAATTATGACTAGTTTTATGGCTATTTAAAAGTGATAAAAGAGTTTAAACAAAGCGCTAGCCATGATCTTGATAATTAATTGTTGGAGTGGATTGTTGAATAATGGATTGTTGTACAGTATGTGTGCGGTAACCCCACTGTCTCTCACTGGGATGTCACCCTGTCTGGCACTGGGGTGTTAACCTGTCTCACTGTCCCATGGCTGTGGTAACCCCCGTCTGCCACTGGGGTGTTAACCTGTCTCACTGTCTGAGATCTGTGGTAACCCCCCTGACTGTCACTGGGGTGTTGACCTGTCTCACTGTCTCAGAGCTGTGGTAACCCCCCT